TGTTCATTGTAATGTTTACTCTCATGTCCTTTTATATCATCAATATTTAAAATTTCTCACCTTCGAAGTTGTTCCATATATCCGGTCTTCAGTCTTTTTCTCCTAATTGCATGACTTAGTACTTATTCGGATTGATCTGCACTCTAAGCAGCCCTGGTGGCCGTCTCCTCAACTATCTCACATAAGTAAATATACATATAAGGGATTCGAGCAAATCTTGCAGACCGTTTACAAATATCATAAACTGGAGCGACCCTGGTACTGATCCTTAAGGGTCCCCACTTTGAGCTACCCTCGATCATCTGCAAACATCCTGTTTGTGTCTGCTGTTTTCCAGGTACTCCTTGATGTGTATCTACTCACCTAGTTGTGGTTGCAGGGGTCGATTCACAGCTGGCCCCGCCTCTTCACTGGTCGCTACTAGGTCACTTCCTGCTCCATGAGCTTTATCATACCTCTTCTTAAAGCTATGTATGGATCCTGACTCCACTACGTCAGTTCCCAGACTATTCCACTTCCTGACAACTCTGTTACTGAAGAAATACTTCATAACATCCCTGTGATTCATTTGAGTCTTCAACTTCCATCTGTGACCCCTTGTTGATGTGTCCCATCTCTGGAATATCCTGTCTGTCTACCTTGTCAATTCCTCTGAGTATTTTATATGTAATCATATCCCTCTATCTCTCCTGTCCTCCAGTGTCATCAGGTCGATTTCCCTTAACCTCTCCTCGTAGGACATGCCCCTTAGCTCCGGGACTACTGTTGTTGCAAACCTTTGCACTTTCTCTAATTTCCTTATGTACTTGGCCAGGTGTGGGTTCCAAACTGGTGCTGCATGCTCCAATATAGGCCTGACATACACGGTGTACAGGATCCAGAACTGTGTGTGTGTGTGCGTGTGTGTGCGTGTGTGTGCGTGTGTGCGTGTGCGTGTGCGTGCGTGTTTACATGTATATGCGAACTATTGTTTGTGTACCAGCGTGAGCATTATTAAGGCTTGTGACTGGTGGAGAGGCCACGTCTTCTCACCTCATGGCTGCTGCTGCTGCCTCCCTCTGTTACCATTACCAAGCTTTTAATGTCTTAATAACAAGCTGATAAATGTTCTCACTGAAGTTATCCACCCCTAAGACAATATTCAGTGAAGGCTTATCAAGATATCTACAGTTGCCGTACTCTAAAAGTCTGTTCTGTGTCTTCCCTTCCTCCTCCCGCCCCGCCCGCCCTTCCTGGCCGCCCACCCTGGCCGCCCACTACAGCACTCTGAGAAGGTAGTACCATGTGTTTCTCACCTTCTCCGTGCATGAAAGCTATAGGAGTCAGTTGATCTTGGTATAGCTGGCAGGATCACCCACAGGTCACCACCAAAGATGGTCTTCAAATTATATTTTGTTTTAAGCATATCAATGCTGTTTTAAATATCTAGTTTTCTCATTATTTGCTGAATCATGTAATTTTATCTATTGATTCTATTAAGTATTAAAAAAGTACATAATGTCACGCCTAATAGCATAAAGATATCGAGGTGGAACCTTGGTAATCTCGTCACAGTAATGGAACCTGTTGTCAGGGTAACCTTAATTATCATAACATTGTACACTATTTACAAGGTATTTACAGTCATGAAATTTTCCCTTAAAAGTAAGTCAAGATTGTACCGTAAAGTATTAAACTATTACATGGCTCAAAAAAAAAATAAAAATAAAAAAAAGGCTGTTCCCCCTAATAATATATGAATTTCATTCTTTAGGACACACCATGAAAACGCACTCTTTAACATCAAAGAATGTTGTCGGTATGCAACCTGCTACACCTTGTCAGTTTGAAGGGTTTCCCTCCCCCCTAAATGGCCGACGCATGTTCGCTGCACCTCCTCTTTCTGCTCCTCTTGTATACCAGCACCTCGTTACTGGATGTCTGGCACACTTCTTTGCTCTTTGCCTTCTTCTTTGCCGAGTGGTGTCTAGCGCATGTCATACCCATTTAGGCTGCTGCTCAGACCGTTACATTACAGCAAGCCAAAGCATTATTTTCTTACTGTCTCTATTCCCTACTCACATTTCACGACACGATTTATACGACAAATTCATAGACATCAAAACACGTTTGGGAATTGTAATATTTAATATATATTTAATTATAATATTTCAAGAAAGTGTACTTTAAATATTATATGAGATTCGTGCACAAAGGCATGGAAGGTTTCACCGACTTACCCAATGGAATATATTTAGACCGTCATGAAAAGAGCTGTACTGTGTTAAGATTATATTTCGTCCTGGAAGATGGTAGGATTTCTTTTTAAGCTTCCGTGTGAGAGTCTGTGACCAGAGGCAGGAACCACATAGCTGAAGGTCCGTTGACGCTCGCTTACATGTTTTCTGCTAGAGACACGTAGTTGACGTGTTCTTCCATAAATACACTGTTAGGGGCCATTTTTTCACAGCCAAGTGTAAATTTACTCAGGGTGACAATTACAAGATTAAAGAGTCCTTCTTTGCTTGCGCTTGTGTATACTGTTACACTGATGCTCAGATGGTCTCCTCGTTTATCGTCAGGATAAACTGTAGCCAAAGATTAATCATTAATCATTAAAACTTAAGCGAAATGCAGTTTGTAACAAATTGTCTCTGGAACCCATAACAATCATATACTACATGCATTAAGTGCTGGAGATAATGATTTCAAATGTGTATTATTCTGAAACAGATATTTGTTTAAATTTTAAATTCAAGAGAGAATCAATGGTTTGCAAAGTATTTATGCAGTATCTAGCAGAAGTTATTGAGCGAGAGCCTTGTCTGTCTGATGTACAAGCTGGAGCATCCATTCCAACTTCATTCAGAATATTTGCTGCTAAATTGTTGAAGCTTGGAATTGTAAACAGGCTAAAGAGATCCGATTATTTTCAAAACTGCTTGTGATTAATATTTTGAATATGTTGTATCCAAGTAAAAACTATATTATAAAAACTTAGTAAACATAAAATAGTTAGGGGTGAAAGTTCCCTCTCCCTAGCCACTGGAGCATAACACATGCATGATGTCGCGAGCGTTCCTACTTAGTGCACTGTTTTCCCACACGAGTGTACACAAACATACGCACACCCCCACACGAAGAGATGCACACACACATGAATAAATACACACAAACATATGAACACACGAGCATGCCCCAGTGCACCTCAACTCCCCCCCCCCCCCATCCACCCACTAAGGGACACCGTACCTCTTGAAGTGAGGGAGAGAGCAAGTCTTGGCCAAAGGATGGAGAGTTACACATTGATGCATGTCAAACTAGGGCAGCTCGCAGGCCCACGCACTCACTAACTCATGTGACTCACTGACGTGAGGGGTCGGACCGACCGGACGTGACCTGTTATCAAGAAACTAGTGGGTTCATAAATGTCGGGCCATGTTCCGCAACCCATGAGCCGGAGTAGCCTGACCGCAGCTGTGATCTGAACGCAGCCAGTGGCGCAGCCCAGAAGGGGAGGCGGGGGCTGAAGCCCCGGATGCAAATACTTTTTTTTTTTAAATTAATGACTAATTTTTACTGTATTGACCAGTGACCACGAAAGCTTGATAGTTAAAATTTCACATACATACAGACTGAAAACCATACATTTCTTTAAGAAGATTTCTTTTGCTTCTTTTTTCTTTAACTTCTTATGACTTGAAATCCTGGCTTAATTAAGCGCCTAAACTGAATTTTTGGCTTAAACTCCCATCCAAATTGGAATCGTGGGTGAGCACTATCTAAACTCGAGGCCCAAAACCCGAACTTAACCAACCCTGGCTGCGATCTTAAACAATGAGCCGAACTTAATCGACCTTGGCTATGATCAGACTCTGTGCCCCATGAACAAGCCTTGACCAGGCTTACCATGAGTGGGATTTGACCGATAATGAGACTAATCTGAAACCCTGGCACATGCCTCTGACCAGACCCACCCACAATAATAATAATAATAATAATAATAATAATAATAATAATAATAATTGTATTTCACAAGTACATGTACAAGGTATACAGGCCTAGCTGACATCAGTGACATATTACTATATAGAGCTGTATGACCCTTGTAGGTTTAGCGCTTCTTTTTTTATTTTAATTACTGTATAGAAAGCCCCTTGTTATGCAGAGCGTTTCGGGCAAATTAGGTCAGTTTTGTCCCAGGATGCGACCCACACCAGTCGACTAGCTCCCAGGTACCCATTTTACTGATGGGTGAACATAGACAACCAGTGTAAAGAAACGTGGCTAATGTTTCTACCCTCGCTGGAAATCAAACCAAGACCCTCGCCGTGTGAAGCGAGAGCTTAAGCCACCAGGCCACGACGCCTGGTACCATGAAACCAGGACATGAGACTTCATCAACACTCCCCCCTTCCCGCTCCGACAGCGACCCACCACCTTGACTTAAACAGAACTTTGACTGGGATCCAAAAGACTAGGGCTGTGCATCTTGAAAGTAGAACCATGTACCCAAGCTGCCTTGTGATGTACGCTCCTTCCCTTCTCTCCATATATGTAGAATCACATTAAAAAAAAAATACCCCCCCCCTCTTAAATTGCTCATTTTTAAAAAAACGGTTTTTTTTTTATCTTCTGTTGCATTAAAGTACTCCCATATAAATTATATATTAATTAATAAGCTGGCATCTTTTTTTTTATTGTTCTAACATTATTGTAATTAACGAACACGTGCTAATTATTAGGCTGTATTTTTCCATATATCAATTACCCAAATCTTCATAAATACTCATAGAGAATTAGAATTAATTTTGTCTTGATATATTGCACCAAATTTTGCGCTGTTTTTTTTCTGTATGCTCTATTTGTATGCATATTTTAGTTAGACATTTTTAGTTAATTAATTATAAAGTTGATAAACAAATGATTATCACTTCACATTACTGAAATATAAATGAATGTCATTTTTTATATTCTTCGCTGCTGCTATGGTGTTTGATGCTCTCTGCCCACACTTCCAGTCTCTTCGCCAAGACCAAGGTGGGCATGTTGAGGTCCTGCAACGGGGGAGACATGCGGGAGTCCTGTAATTACTACTCCACTGAGTCCTTCCAGGATTCCAGAGATAACTCCTTCAGGTACATTAACATCTTGAGGTTTTTTTTTTCAAGTTACACCCGCCTATGACATATGTCCTCGCTATCTGTTTCACCGGTAACACGTGTCCTTCACTTGTTTTATCTATAACATGTGTCTTAACTATCTTGTCTATAATATCCTTTTCCTGTTGTCTCACGCATAACATGTGTCCTACCTCATATGATTCACTTATAACGCGTTTCCTCTATCGCTTCTTACCTAAAACAAGTGTCCTTTACTTCTCTTATTTATAACGAGTGTCCTTTACCACCTGTCTCATCTATAAAATATGTCCTTCATATATCTCGCCAATTACACCTGTTCTCCATCTCTCGCCTACCCCTTTTTCTCAAGCTGCTTCAGCTATATCCCTGACTTTAACAGCCACATGTTTACTGATTAAGAAAAATGCTCACCCGTCTTCCTAGATGTTCATACGCATACACTTAGTAAACATAAGTAGAATTGTAAGGTACCCGTAGAAGCAGAGAACTTCCGTGTAACTCTTTATGACGACAGCCAGCAGGAACTGAGGGACGCTATCCAAGAGGGACTTATGTATATGGGGATCCCCAGCAGCCGGCCTCGCTCCCCACGCAGCGAGTACTCTCCCAGGCAAGTATTCAGTACTCTTGTTTCGTTAGACTAACACACCACCACCACACATGCAACATACAAATAGTTGACAGCCATCTTTATTTGAGATATAGTTAGGTGTGTGTGTTTTGCCTGGCCTGGTATCTTTGGTAAGTCCCAAGAGGACGGTGTGTGTGTGTTGTAGTGTTGGCTGGCCTATTCACCCCCTCTCCAGGCACAGTCCTCTTTCTGATTGGTCGTCCAGGTTCAGTACACCCTCTCCAAGCACAATCCTCATTAAAGTTGGTTGTCCAGGTCCAGTACACCCTCTCCAAGCACAGTCCTCGTTACGATTGGTCGTCCAGGTCTTCCCCAATCACCACTGGGTGTACGCATTGCTTCCCGTGAGTGTCACTGTCCAGACCTGGCGTGGAAACCGCTGCCTCTTATCTACGAGACGGATACAACCACTGGACCACGCCTTTACGCTCCGTGTCATTCACGTTGTGTATATGTCGCACTACTTCCCACGTCACGTATTTGCACGTACAAATACGTCATGTACGTCTCTATACGTCACATGTATGTAATGGCATGTGCGCGTATATTGTCATACGTACGTGTATGTGCGCGATTAAACCTTTGCACAAGCGATGCAACTCGCACCTTTCCACGTGTCACGTAATGTACTTTATATGCCCCTCATGTGACACTGTACGTCACAGGTGCCCCTTCATGTCATACCTGTACGTCATTGCTGCTCCTCATGTCACACCTGTACGTCATTACTGCTTCTCATGTCACACCTGTACGTCATAGATGCCCTTCACGTCATAAATGCTCCTCACATTGCATATGACAAATATGCTCTCTCATGTCACACTTGCACGTCAAAGATCCCCCCTCCCTCCATGTCACACCAGTAAGTTACAGATGCCTCTCACGTAACGTGCAGCATATATGCCCCTTTCATGTCGCATACTTATCACACCCTGTACCATAAACCTTGTATGTCATACCCAGTATGCCACACCCTGTACCTTAAACCTTGTATGTCACACCCAGTATGCCACACCCTGTACCTTAAACCTTGTATGTCACACCCAGTATGCCACACCCTGTATCTCAAACCTTGTATGTCATACCCAGTATGCCACACCCTGTACCTCAAGCCTTGTATGTCATACCCAGTGTGCCACACCCTGTATCTGAAATCTTGTATGTCACACCCAATACGCCACACCCTGTTTGCCAATGTCCTGTACACAACACTTTGTACATCACCCCCTGTATGCCACACCTTATGTGTGACACCATGTAGGTCACGATGTGTATCATACCTTGTATACTACACAATGTGCATCACTAAATGTATAATACACCATATACGTCACAGCCTACACACCACACACTGTAAGTTATGCACTGTACGCCACACCCTGTATGACTAAGCGTTTGTCACACCCTGCATGTTAGTTACATCTACACCATACTATCACATATGTCACACCTTGTGCTTCACAACTTGTACATTACATCTAGTACTTCACATGATGTATACCACATCCTGTACATCACACCCTTTGTCCCGTACAATGTATATCGCATGTACACACTTCTCTGAGAGCCACACTATGTAAATTGCATGTGCGTCACACCCTCTACATATACCATGCACGTCACGTGGTCACACCCTGTACGCCACACCCTGTATCGCAACATAAATCACCCTGCATGTCACGCCACACCTGTCTCAACATATGTCGCACCTTGTGCGTCATCCACTGTACACTAGGCAATGTACATCACACCGTGTATCCCACTCCCTGTAAGAAACACATTGTATGTCACACTGTATGCCACCATGTATGTAACCCTGAGTACCCATACACACCCCGAATACAACCAATACCACACCCGTACCACACCCCTGTAATACCACCCCCGATACCACACCCCGAACCAACACCCGATACCAACCCCGAATACCACACCACCTGAATACCAACACACCCGAATACCACACCCCGAATACCACACCCCTGTCACACTTGTAGTCTCTATCCTGTAGGTCCTCTCCTATGCCTTCACCCTATTACAGCAGCTTGTATGTCTCAACCTGAATAGCACTACCATTTATATAAATACACACAACACACACACACACACACTTACACACACACGTTACAGGTGCTACGTATGTGTCAGTCATTTTTTTTTTTAATTTTTCGACTCTTCTTAATTCTAATATAAATAGAATATTCCTTCTAGATGAGAAAAGAAATACATTTTAAATACTTTGGCTGAATGCAAATTGCCATAGATCTTCTTGGTGTAGGAGTCACACGTGGTGCCTCTCTCGTAATGTTATTTTTTCTTTCTGCTTAATTTGCAACAGACTCGTGACTCTAAGAAAAATTCAAATAGAGATTTTTTTGGAGACTGAATAAAAATCACAACATCGTGGCTGGAACACTCCATATATAGCCTTCACAGCCTTGTACAAAGCCTTATACAGCAAGTTATGGTCCTGGCTACTGCTGTAAAGTGAAACATCGCTGTAATGTGAAATCACTGTAAAGTGAAACATCGCTGTAAAGTGAAACATCGTCCTTTTTTTCACTTTAAAATGCATATAAAAGCTTGATAACATGAGCACTAGAGCTAGGCCTAAAAGAAAAGGCATGTACAGTACACACATTACTTAAAATATTTTCGTCCTTAGCTTATAGTGAATGGTGAATATATTTATTGTAGGGAGTCTCAATAAATGAATGGGTATAATTGAAAACTGCTGATTAGCAAAAACGCTGTAAACCATCCCTAAAGCAGCCCCTGTACTAGACATGTCTTATTAAATGAAAACACCACAGTACAACACATCCACTGAAAATAAATCCAAGAAACCGGGATCTACATTACCCAACCATCTAACTGATTGACACCTCACATCACAACTCTGATATCACCTACACATATACCATTTACTTACATCTCGCACCTTGTGTCACTAATAACACACCATGTGCACCACACAAACATCACTCTACAAATCCTCTCACTAAACAAACTCATCTCACTTACCACATTCACTGACAAAACCTCTACATTCACACCACGCTATATCACTACAACAAAATCCACTACATTCCACAACATCTACCGCAAAATCACTCACCATCTCCGCTACGAACACCTGTTCATAAACACAGTACCTCAAACCTATCTCACTAAACTCAATCTCATCACTATACAACATCGCAAGTTCCTCACCTATCTCAAACACAAACTCAAACTCACCTTCAACAAACCATCTCCAGTTAGTTATACAACCATATCACTTCTTGCACATTCACATCTACACTAGCACTACAATCCTCTTTCACCTTATAACACAACCATTCACTACAAAACTAAACACCATTAACTACAACATATATATCCACTTAATGACACCTATTACTTGAAATTCCTTAACACTCATGCTATACAAAAACCATCTATAACACAACATTAACCTCAAAAACCTATCCAGCCTTAACACAATTCTACACACAATCATCTGTCACCTACAACACTAAACTCCCTACAACTAACATCTCACCTCAACAACCATCACCTCAACAACCATCTCCTACCACAGACCATGTCACCTACAACACTAAATCCACCACAACACAACCATCCACCTACCACCACAACCATCTCACCTAAACCACAACCATCCACCTACTACCACAACCATCCACCTACTACACAACCATCCACCTAACACAACCATCTCACCTACACCACAACCATCCCACCTACACCACAACCATCCACCTACAACACCACCCCACACAACCATCCACCTACACCACAACCATCTCCACCTACACACAACCTCACCACAACACACCATCCACCTACACCACAACCATCTCACCTACACACAAACCATCCACACTTACACAACCATCCCCACCTACACACAACCATCTCACCGCCTACACAACCATCCCACCTACACAAACCATCCCACCTACACCACAACCATCCCACCTACAACAACCATCTCACCTACACACAACCATCCCACCTACACCACAACCATCCCCCTACAACACAACCATCCACCTACACCACAACCATCCCACCTACAACACAACCATCCCACCTACACCACAACCATCTCACCTACAACACAACCATCCCACCTACAACCACAACCATCCCCCACCAACCTACTACCACAACAACCACCACCTACAACACAACCATCTCATCTAACCAACATCCACAACACATCCATCCTCACCAAACTACAACCATCTCCACCTACAACACAACCATCCCACCTACAAACAACCATCCTCACCTACAACACAACCATCCACCTACAACACAACCATCCCACCTACAACACAACCATCCACCTACAACACAACCATCTCACCTACAACCACAACCATCTCACCTACAACACAACCATCTCACCTACAACACAACCATCTCACCTACAACACAACCATCTCACCTACAACACAACCATCTCACCTACACACAACCATCTCACCTACAACACAACCATCTCACCTAGCAACACAACCATCTCACCTACAACACAACCATCTCACCTACAACACAACCATCTCACCTACAACACAACCATCTCACCTACAACACAACCATCTCACCTACAACACAACCATCTCACCTACACCACAACCATCTCACCTCACCACAACCATCTCACCTACAACCACAACCATCTCACCTACACCACAACCATCTCACCTACAACACAACCATCTCACCTACAACACAACCATCTCACCTACAACACAACCATCTCACCTACAACACAACCATCTCACCTACAACACAACCATCCCACCTACAACACAACCATCTCACCTACACACAAACCATCCACCTACACACACAACCATCTCACCTACAACACAACCATCTCACCTACAACACAACCATCCACCTACAACACAACCATCTCACCTACAACACAACCATCTCACCTACAACACAACCATCTCACCTACAACACAACCATCTCACCTACAACACAACCATCCACTACAACACACATCCACCTACAACACAACCATCTCACCTACAACACAACCATCTCACCTACACCACAACCATCTCACCTGCACCACAACCATCTCACCTGCACCACAACCATCCCACCTACACAACCATTCCACCTTCAACACAACCATCCCACCTACACAACCATTCCACCTACACAACCATTCCACCTACACAACCATTCCACCTACACCACAACCATTCCACCTACACCACAACCATCATCCCACAGTCAATGATCTCCCGCATCATTTTTCACTCTCCGAGTCATTCATCGTTTCACTCCGTCATTCATTATCTTTCACTATTCCCCAGTTTTATCGTCGAGAAATAAGAGATGCCAATAAATCCATTTTGCTTCAGTGAATATACGTATGGTCACCTGCTGTGTGAGACTCCACTCTATGACCAGCGTCGTCCCTTGTGTATGCAGCAGTAAGTACTTAATTAACACTATGCACACAAAAGCATTCACTCTACGTTTGATTAGTTGAGTCAGTCACGCTATGCACACATCAGTTACATTGTGTGTGTACGCTGTGTAAGTGTAATTATCACAGTAAATGTGCTCACTAATCACATCAGATACATCTGGCCATGTTCGCACACTTCACACCGTGTGTACGCACCAGTCACCAACCACACCGTATTTAATCACAGAAACGTTCATGCCACATGTGCATGTGACAGATTTCGTCCACATGGTTACCAGACCACATGCACAAAATTTGTTAAGAGGCCGCGTGAAGAGAGACACCCAGGTTGTGTAACAAGATTTAATTAAAACGTTTCGTTCTGTGTTGAGCTGTATTAAGCCACTTCAGTCTCCACACAGAGCAAAACGTTGTTCCAGTAATATTTTGCATACCTGTCTATAATATGACGTTTCACCCCGAGGAGCAGTACTTTCAAAAGCATAAATGTAAATATCGCAAGGTATTTTATGCTGTGTATAAGGATGAAAATTATCAACCATCATACTGTAACCAGAAAATAAAGTTAAATACAATAACCTTAAAGTCATGGAAAAAATTATCTTGTTTTTAAAAAAAAAAAGAGAAACGTATGTGAGATTTAAACTTATTTAATGTGATACTCGAAGCCTCGTTCCACGAGTTTATTATATTTGTGTGTCCGTGACGTGACGCAGTCTTAGAATTTGATGCAAATGATTATCAGTAAGACTTGAAATGCACTTTCTCTTCGAATTTCATTCGTGAACATGTTCGTAGATGTAAGGACACGTACTGTGACTGTAGCTAAAAACAAAAGTGTAGGTAAATGAGTAACACGTAATATGAAGGATTTTTTCACGTGCTAATTAATTTTGGATGTGATTTTTCATTCGTATTTACAAAAAAAAAAAAAGTAATGATATAAAGAAGCTTGGTTCTACAGAGATCTCAGATAGTCCTGGACATAAGTCCCAAAAACTGTTTTCTTTAAGTCGTTCAGATAATTATCTGAACTTCACAGGCTTGCTGGAGATGCTGGTAACTTCTGGTGGGAGGAACACCATCGTCTGGTCTCGATGCCTATCAGCCAGTGTGTGCCCTTGAAGAAATAGCACTCTGATACTAAATATTTTATGTGACTATCCCTTAATGGTTTTGTAGTAGCGACATCTTTGTTATAAATGCAATTTTAGATATAAATCCAGATGTATTCCTGTTCGTGGTTTGGTTAATAACGTCCTCGGCTCACACTAAGGGGTTCGGGATCGATACCTGGCACGGGTGTGAAACGCTGGGTATGTTACCTTACACCTGCCGCCCCCCTGTTCACCTATCAGTAAGTGGTTACCTGGATGTTAGTCGATTGTTGTGGGTCGCCTCCTGAGAGAAGATTGAAGGACCTCAACGGAAATAAGCCAGTCAGTCCCCGATGACAGACTTTACTGGGTTATCCTTAATGGTTAACTCTCCTGGTTTAAAATACCAGCAAAATCTTAACCATTTTACATTCCTAGTTCCTGTGTCTTTCGTTTATCCCTACGCTCTTGCGCTATCGTCCACTGGATGAATATAAGGGTCACAGTAAATATAAAGGCCACAGTGAATATAAGGGTCACATCGGCGGCAATCATATTATGAAACTATCCTGTCAAGTCAAAACTATAGTAGTAACGTTGATAGTCATAAACTGAAGATGATGATGGAACTACTCTGTAGTCAGGACACAGTTACATCGTCAGTCACTGGTATGACCCGACGAAATATTGCTGTTAATATGAGTCTACCAGAAATGTTTATACAAGTCAACAAGAATGATTTTATGGTGTTAATTGATGTTTGATGGCCTATTGTGTTGGATGGTCACAACCTGATCCTTATTTGTTCACCGTAGTTTCTCCCAGCAACGAGATATTTCTACACCGTAGTTGCCCCTGAACGCGACAATTTGTCCAAGAATATATCCGGATCCCAGAGGATGTTGTTGAAGTCTGTCCTTGCTTAGCTATGTCCTTGTTGAAATCTTTGTTGAAGGGTGTCTTCGTTTAAGTGTGTACTTGTGGTGCGTAGAACTCCTGTTAAGTGGCCGCTTCGGGAGAAGTTGCTTATACAATCTCGTTTCTGTTTCCTTTAATGACTGTGTTCCCTCTTTATTGCCTCTTGTTTCAGTTTCCTTTAATTCAATAATGTGTTGCTGCCTGTGAGAAGTTTCTCTAGTTTAAATGTCTTTGTGTGACAAGACCAGCATATTGTTTATGATTTCTTGGATATTATATATAGTTTGTTTTATCGTTGCTCTTTGAGAATTGCCTTTTTTTCAGGTTTAATACGTTTGTTAGCTTTTAATATGTCCCGTTTTGTTTGCCGAGATTTTCCCCGTTTTGCTTCCCTAAAGAATTTGTGTATACCCTCAAGCATTCCTTGGAAGTTGAAACATGCAGTACTCTTACCCCTCTGTTTCTCCATGTGGTATTTGTTATAACAGAAGAAACATCCGTTCCTTTTGCAACTACTTGTGTGTGTTTCGGAATATTATTAGTAAGGTGTAAGAGTAACCTTATTTACCTGTGTTCCTCAGCCGGGATATAGAATCACTGGGTATCAACGGAGGTTGCAAGATCCACGGTCCCGCAGCGCTGGCCGATGACTTGGGTGTCGGTCTCAACGGGAACGTGGGGTCTCCGGGCAGGGGCACTACTGAGAACGGTAGTACCCAGTACTGCCCAGAGGTCATAAAGGCCTTCGAGGGCGTCAGATTCATCGCCGAGCACACACGCAGGGAGGAGGAGTCCTGTAAGGTTAGTGTGTTAGGGTTGGGGTGGTTGTGTTGGGGTGTTAATTACCTGTTGTCAAAAGCATCGGTCGATGAGTCATGGCCTGTTTTGTGTGTCGCCCGGGGATGAGACTGAGTTTTAATATAACTAGAAGCGTGTACATGGAAGGTATTCAAGACCAGTTTTAATACTCCTTACATTATGATCTGAATACGTTTACTAAGTTTTATAACCAATAACATTAGATTAAAAACAGTGTAAGTTTATATTTTTGTTAGATTTTAGTGGGCGATCAAGGAGGGAGGGGTTATGGCGATGGAAAAATTTAATAATTAGAGATATGACTAACTCAGTGTTTCTCTTAAGGTGAAAGAGGACTGGAAGTATGTGGCGATGGTGCTGGATAGGTTGTTCTTGTGGATCTTTACCCTGGCCGTTCTTTTGGGCACGGCCGGTATCATTCTACAAGCACCTACGCTATACGACGACCGTCTGCCCATCGACATCGTCTACTCGGAGATCGGATCCATCAAGAATCAGCCGAAGACGACCGCAGCCCCATCCAGTGTAACCTGAGGAGTGTTACAGTGGAGTGCTGCTTGGGGCAGCAGCATAGTCAAACCAACACACTGTAGCCACAAAGTGATTGAGACACCTCACCTTCTCGGCGCTTGTGACCACAACTAGCTCAGATATATATTATATGCACAACATATACAACATTTCGAATGGACCACGGGCTTACTACAGTACAAGAAACGATCAGTTTAATTTTGCCCTCATGTGTAGTAGCAAGACTATAAATGTAAATCTTGTACAGCCAGGCAGTGAGTTGTGAATAATAGCAGAGAATAGCAAGCAGTGTTGTGAGGCTGGGACTTGAGTGTGTATACTGATATTCACTCTTGTTTACTCTTGACTCGGGTAGCACATTTATATAAAAAAAAAGTTAAGTGCAAACTTGAGAACACGGTTTATTTACATGCACAACGACAGACTCTTGAGTGTTGACGAGCACCTCTTGCAGAGTGCTAGCGGCGGCAAGCACTGCACTCAACTGTGGACCATTAGCGGCCATATTGCTCAAGTGCCGAGACGTTTGGACTACAAGTAGCCAGATACAAGTGAACTTGTGCAGAGTATTAGCTACACCTTCCATGTACATTGTGTGAAAAGCTCACCACGTGCGTCAGACAATGCTAGTTGCTTCGAGTTTACTGAAAATTGGGATTTTCCTTTTGAGTCTTTCCTTTCATGTAGTTATTATTTAGTTACTTGGAAAAAAATGTGCTTTTCCACTATTATGTGTACATTACTTTTAGGAATTTTAAAAACCTGTTTGTGTTATAGAACGAAGTTAGTGTTTCAAAATCCTAGTGTGCAAACACTGTATAGTGGTTGGTGCAGGTGGTGACACTGTACAAGGTTGTGTAATGACTGGTGGAGTGACACTGTACAAGGTTGTGTAATAACTGGTGGAGTGACACTGTATAAGGTTGTGTAATAACTAGTGGAGTGACACTGTACAAGGTTGTGTAATAACTGGTGGAGTGACACTGTACAAGGTTGTGTAATAACTGGTGGAGTGACACTGTACAAGGTTGTGTAATGACTGGTGGAGTGACACTGTACAAGGTTGTGTAATGACTGGTGGAGTGACACTGTACAAGGTTGTGTATGACTGGTGGAGTGACACTGTACAAGGTTGTGTAATGACTGGTGGAGTGACACTGTACAAGGTTGTGTAATGACTGGTGGAGTGACACTGTACAAGGTTGTGTAATAACTGGTGGAGTGACACTGTACAAGGTTGTGTAATTGGTGGAGTGACACTGTACAAGGTTGTGTAATAACTGGTGGAGTGACACTGTACAAGGTTGTGTAATGACTGGTGGAGTGACACTGTACAAGGTTGTGTAATGACTGGTGGAGTGACACTGTACAAGGTTGGTATAACTGGTGGAGTGACACTGTACAAGGTTGTGTAATAACTGGTGGAGTGACACTGTACAAGGTTGTGTAATACTGTGGAGTGACACTGTACAAGGTATGTGTAATAACTGGTGGAGTGACACTGTACAAGGTTGTGTAATAACTGTGGAGTGACACTATACAAGGTTGTGTAATGACTGTGGAGTGACACTATACAAGGTTGTGCAATGACTGGTGGAGTGACACTATACAAGGTTGTGTAATAACTGGTGGAGTGACACTATACAAGGTTGTGCAATGACTGGTGGAATGACACTATACAAGGTTGTGTAATGACTGGTGGAGTGACACTATACAAGGTTGTGTAATAACTGGTGGAGTGACACTATACAAGGTTGTGTAATGACTGATGGAGTGACACTATACAAGGTTGTGTAATGACTGGTGGAGTGACACTATACGAGGTTGTGTAATGACTGGTGGAGTGACACTGTACAAGGTTGTGTAATGACTGGTGGAGTGACACTATACAAGGTTGTGTAATGACTGGTGGAGTGACACTATACAAGGTTGTGTAATGACTGGTGGAGTGACACTATACAAGGTTGTGTAATGACTGGTGGAGTGACACTATACAAGGTTGTGTAATGACTGGTGGAGTGACGCTATACAAGGTTGTGCAATGACTGGTGGAGTGACACTATACAAGGTTGTAATGACTGGGGAGTGACACTGTACAAGGTTGTGTAATAACTGGTGGAGTGACACTATACAAGGTTGTGTAATGACTGGTGGAGTGACACTATACAAGGTTGTGTAATGACTGGTGGAGTGACACTGTACAAGGTTGTGTAATAACTGGTGGAGTGACACTATACAAGGTTGTGTAATGACTTGTGGAGTGACACTGTACAGGGTTGTGTAATGACTGGTGGAGTGACACTATACAAGGTTGTGTAATGACTGGTGGAGTGACACTGTACAAGGTTGTGTAATGACTGATGGAGTGACACAAGGTTGTGTGATGACTGGTGGAGTGACACTATACAAGGTTGTGTAATGACTGGTGGAGTGACACTATACAAGGTTGTGTAATGACTGGTGGAGTGACACTATACAAGGTTGTGTAATGACTGGTGGAGTGACACTATACAAGGTTGTGTAATGACTGGTGGAGTGACACTGTACAAGGTTGTGTAATGACTGGTGGAGTGACACTATACAAGGTTGTGTAATGACTGTGGGGTGATGACACTGTACAAGGTTGTGTAATGACTGGTGTGGTTGGAGTGACCTGTAAGTTTTTGTGTAATGACAGGTGTGGGGTGGAGTGACACTGACAAGGTTGTGTAATGACAGGTGTGGGTGGAGTGACACTGTACAAGGTTGTGTAATGACAGGTGTGGGTGGAGTGACACTGTACAAGGTTGTGTAATGACTGGTGTGGGTGGAGTGAACAGGAGGATACAGTCTCCGCCGTTATTTTCACTCTCCGAGGGCTGTTTTATACCCCGGTAAAAAAATACAGAGGAAGATACTGAGGTGCCGGGAGAAAGAACTAGGGTCACAGGTGGCAGACTCGAACCACCGGCATAAGAAACAATTCTTCCAGTCTTGAAGTAGTGAGAGCAATACACTAAACAGAGGTGTTAGATACGAGCATTTTAAATATTTGGTTTTATGGGACATGGAGGCAGAAATCGGTATAACCGGTCGTTGCTAGACAAAAGGCGAGGCCAGGAGATATGACTTGACAGCTTTATGTATGTACGTAGGTAAACACACACACACACACACACACACACACACACACACACACACGCACACGTAAAAATACACACACACACACACACACACACACACACACACACACACACGTAAACACATATGAACATATACTGTTATGCTTTTTACTGGGTAACGTAAATAAGTGTCCTGGCTCCTAGGAATAAACAAAGTGTCTAGGGACATGTAAACTATTAAACCACATAAACCAACCTAGGGCCAAGCTTGTTCCTTCACATAAATTGTGAAGCGTTAATTAAAACGTTAATGCTTATTTTTAAAGAGGTGGGTCAGGAGCTGTGAATCGACCCCTGCAACCACAAATAGGTGAGTACTCTCTTGGGGACAGAGGTTGCTGACCTCATACCAAGAGAAGGACCTAGGAGTAAGTATAGTGCCTATCATATCTTCAGAGGCTCACATTAATTGGATAACCTCTACAACCAATGCTCGCCTGGTAGATCTGAGAGTGGCCTTCAGGAATCTCGGCAGTCATTTCTTGCGCTTTATACAGATGTCAGGCTCATCTTGGAACACCCAGCACCAGCATGGAACCCACACCTGAGGAAGCATATTAAGAAACTGGAGAAAGTGCAAAAGTATGCAACGAGACTAGTTCCAGATCTAAGGGGCAGGATCTAAGAAGACATGCTAAAGGAATTGACTCTAACGACCATGGAGAACAGAAAAGCCAGGGAAGACGTATCATGCAAAATACTCGGAGGAACTGATAAATCAGACAAGGTGTTCAAGAAGCGAGAAATAAGTATTGAGAGGCACAGCTAGTAGTTAAAAGCAAAGATAAGTCATAGGGATGTCAGGAAGTGGCGAGACATCTTGCCGATAATGATTCAGAGAGGTGGCGAGACATTTTGCTACTTACATAAGTGACAAGATGAACTTGAGGGTAATGCGCATATATAACTATCTATTTAACAGTGAATGTGTAACACCTCGGTAAGAGAGTTTTAATGGTTAAAAATTTAAGTAACGTGTTTTCATACCCGCTGCGACATTTCTTCCAATCTGGGCAATATTTTAAACCCTACAGTTCTCACCACCGTGTATAAGTGACCTCAGGACTCAACTGCACATGTACTTAAGGTCTTGGATGCTGGTTGAGCCTACATTTTATGTAGGCTAAATAAATAAATAAATAAATAAATATAATATATATATATATATATATATATATATATATATATATATATATATATATATATATATATATATATATATATATATATATATATATATAAATACACATACATACATATAGCTTCCTCACACACGATACGTGGAAACAGACGGACCGCGTATCTGATACACATTGACATACCTTCATACATAATACCTGCATACATGCATATATAAATACATACAGGCATACATATATACCTACATGCATAGGTAAAAACTTACAAGAAAGTAGGTAGTTCACACCATAGGTTGACAGATAAATTACTAATGATCGGTTCTGTTTCACAGCAGATTAATTTTATTCTTTCAGAGGTATCTATGGTGTGGCACTATACTTTTGTTCTGATTCAGTATATCGGTATGGTTGGTCAGAATGCTTGGATGATCGAAAAAAAAATCGGTGTTTTACATTATATGTAGTGCATTTGTTTTTTTTTTTTTGTTTTTTAATATGAAGGCAGTTTGAATTACGAACTTCTGATAAGATGTGAGGATGTCTGGAGATATTGAGTTTGACCACTGAAGATGGAGACAGTGAGTCGTTGAAAATGATTGTGTGTAGTTGGTAAGGCAGGGTGTTGTTGTGCCAGGTCTGGTTTATATTGTCGTCCCTACCATGGTTCATGTATGGAGAATGCGTGTGTGTGAGGGGGGGTCACTTCCACCGTGTGTAAGTTTATTTAGGTACAAGTACACATAAGCACAGTTAAACAGATTTAGGTAACCACAATTAACATAGTAACATATGTGTAAATTACCTACAGTAACCCCCAAAAAGGTCAGACGAGTGACTAATTTCCATTGGGTGTGTAGATTTTCATTTCCACCGTGTGTGTACGTGGTGTGATTCGATTCAGTTGGTCCACAACCCATACCCAGCACTAGTGACCAGGCGGGTCACCAGATCTGCGACAAGTGTTCTCGGCGAGGGTTTCTAGTCTCGGCTCGTCCAGGTAGTAACAGGTGGACAACTAGTCGAATTGACTCAACCTTGTTCCAGTGCTGCTGGTAAGGTCTGCGTTCCTGTCTTCCGCTGTCACTGCTTGGCGCTGCTTGCTGCTGCTGCAGCCGTTGCATTTCTACAATCAAGCATTTTAATTGCTCAAATTCCTTCAGAAGTAATGAGTACTTAGATCATCAGTAATCAAAATACATTTCTCATCCTTATAATGCCTAAACACCACATAATTTAAATAAGGCAGCTCTATTTCAGCTAGTGTGTAATTATTAATACGCATTTTGTATGAAAGAGCATTTTTTTGTCTTATATATTATATTTTGGATGAAAGTTTTGACAGACGTGATCTAAGAAGCTATTGACCTAAATAGTCAGTATAAGTAGGAAAATTATGAGGAATGTCTTTCTCTGCAGTTTCCGACCTCTTGTGTCGTCTGAAAGTACTGAAACTTTTCATTGTGTACTGGAGTGGTCTGTGTTCGGACGGTAGCGGCTGACTGGAAGACATTTGGATAATTGGATTAAAGGTATGTGATACCGCAAGCTGATGAATAAGACGCGTGTGCAGTATCTGGGTAAACATCATTTGAGAGACGTTTCGCCTATCATGTATTGCACGTGTCTTATTTCTCAAGAAGTGTGGGTACTGTAAGAGCAGGAGCACTTCCTCCC